TAAATTACTCAACGTCCTCCAAAGTTATTTCGGCGAAATGTGTTGTTCTGTTGTCAAAAGTCCTTGTCTGCGGTTTGTTTACACCGACGACTCGTCCAATAACATCTGCAAATAGTACAACAAATATTAATATTAAAATATTTATTAAAATAAGGATTAAAGATTTATTAGAGTATGAATGAATAAAAATTGTACCGATGAGCATATATAGGGTCGAAAAAGGTTCCTTTAGCCAACTCAAAAAAGCTCGTGAAATTGTAGAGGAATTTTGGAAACCTGTCTTCGGAGACTCTCACCACCCGAGTGCGGCCATGAAATTGTACCGAGGAATTTTGTACCTTCCTATTTTTGTCTTATATCTACCACCGTGGAGCTACAATGAAGTCCTTGAATGCAATAACACTTCATTCCTTCATATGGCGTCTAAAAAGCTCCATATGAAACTTCTTGATAGAAGCATGAATACGGTACCCCTGAAATTAACAAATAAAAAAAAACAATTATAAAAAAATTCAATTATAAGGTAAAAATATTATATTCAATGTGAATATTGAAATTGATTTACCTCAGAATCATGAAGTATTAATTCAAAACCCAAAACTGTAGAGCGATCCCCAAATGTTGTACGCTCGTAGCATCTTACAAGACGAACCTTGATGTTCCATTCAGTTTTGTCCATGTTCACATTCTTCAGGAGAGTGAATGCCATGATTTTTTGTTTGTTTTTTTTGTTTGCTTTCGTGTGTGTTTTGCTGTAAATGCACGAACGGAATAGAAGTATTTATTTATTTATTTATAACGATTCAATACTTGATCCCACTAACTACAATAGTAAAACATGACTTGTTAACTGCCACACAGTATATATTATTAGTATTACTATTACTATATTATTATTATTATTATCGTTATTATTATCATCATTATTTATTATCATTACATTATTATTATATTATTTATTATTTAATTGTTGAAGTTTGTGATTCAATCATGTTGTTAATTATCATTTTTATCTATTTACTGTATAACTCTTACTATTATTTAAAAGTCGATAATTAGTAATTGTTAATTTTTATTTTATGCAGGAACAACAATTCGGTTACATGAATGAAAGCCGAAGTGAAGAGTTTTATTTTTTCTTTAGTAAGTGTAATTATTAATGTCTCTCTATATAATTATTTTCATTAGTAATTGTCTATTTATATTGAGGGATCACCACGATTGAAGAAGATGCCTTCAGTCTATTATAAAATAATAAAACAGGAAGTACCATTTAAGTAAAAGTAGTCTATTTTAAAACATTAAAACACGTAACTACCATTTAAAACATTAAGTGAAAGTAGTCTATTTTAAAACATAAAGTAAAAGTAGTCTATTTTAAAACACGTAACTACCATTTAAGTAAAAGTCGTATAAAGAGAATAATTTTAAAAATTAAAAATTCAAAAGTACAACTACTCACGTGGATCAACATGCAATTTATACACTTTCCCAATATAGAAAGACTATTGTAGGGCCCACAACTTACTTTCCAAAAATAGAAAGTGAGTTGCCTAATTATATAGTAAATAGATTCGAATCGATCAACTTATTTAATAATAATAATAAAAAAAAATGAGCACGATTAATTGTTTGAGCTCAACTCGTTTCAAATAAACAAAGTAATCCAGATCGAGTTTTTACAAGATAAATCGAGATATATGTTCGCGAACAACTCGATTTTCTACCGTAATCTTTCACAAAGGGAAACCTATTAAATATAGTAACGACCACTTCAATCCTTCACAAATTCAAAAGACTATAAGCATTCGTGGCCCCCTCGAAAGAAATTAATTATAACATAAAAAAGATAAAAATCAATAAGTCAACACAATTGACTTGACCCAATAAACTACTGGCCACATTATCTTTTTCATGGGCATATATATGCAGCCAAGAATTGTTCTTCTTCCTTTAACTTATTCACACTACAAAAAAAATAAATAAATAAATAAATAAATAAATAAATAAATAAATAAATAAATGACCATAACTAGAAATTCTGCATAACATTTTTTTTTTATGGAAGTCGAAAATAATAGCAGTAGCAGCATCACTTGCGCAGGCGATAGTTATAAAGAAGAAGAAGAAGAAGAGGATGATCGTGCACAACTTCCCGGTTTTCGATTTTACCCGACTGACGAGGAGCTCGTCGGTTTTTATCTGAAACGAAAAATCGAGAAGAGGCCGATTAGTATCGAGCTTATTAAGCAGGCCGATATTTATAAGTACGATCCATGGGATCTTCCAAGTACGTGAGTTTTAATATTTAGTTCAGTTCAATTGATTCTTGATTTTTATGTTAGGTTTCGATTTTTTTTTTTCCTCTCTGTTTTTGGTGTGTTTCATTATATGTGATATTAGACATTTATTATGTGAATATATGTAAGAGACAAATTAAACAAAGATAAGAAAAAATCAGATATAATATTTATGGAAATATATATTGAATATATACCTCTATTAGTTCAAATTTTAAGTAACAATCCAATATTCAGATTTTTGCTCTGAACAAATGATTATTGTAATTAGCTACTTTAATTATAAATTAAATATGATTATTATATATTGATTTTCTCATATCTGAAAAGTTGGCACATTTTTTTTTTTTTCCGAAA